AATTTCATTAATAATTTATCTGATGTTGTGGATTTTTGAAAACAATTGTGATCAGAATTTTATAATTAATGAGAACTATTTAGTACTTTCAATGAAAATTTTTATTTGAAAATTTGGGTTGTTACATCTCACAATCATCGCTTATCATTCTAAGTTTAAGCTTAGAAATCCTACGAATTTCTAGTTCGCTTAAACTAATGCTTTGATACCAACTGTGACATCCCCAAATTCACATTCATTTTAAATTTTTTATTTATGCTTATTTAAAAATCAGAGTATCCATTTTAAAAATTCACGGTCATTTTAAAAATTTTATTTATGCTTATTTATCGCTTAAACTAAGCCCAAAAGGTGGTCCAAAACTTGAAGCCCAAAATCTAAAATACAACAGAAGGCGTATGGGGGGCGTACTTCGAGCCTCACATTTACCCAGATCGGGGTGCCTGACCGAGTACGCGGAGCGTAATTCCCTTCACGTGGGGCATACCCTCGCAGACTTAAAGTCTTATTTTGTGATTAATGGCTTAAGTAGTTAAGCCCAAACTACAAATCCATGGTCCAAATGCACCCTAGAGTCATAAAGTCTCGAACTTTATGACTTTACACGTCAAAAAGTTCTTAATACAAGGTCTTAATCAATTAAGACCCTTCGACCAAATGCATGGGACACTTCTAGCCCTTGGGACCTCATTTTTATGACTAAGGAACCCTCCAAGGGTCTGAAAGGATGACTCAAAACATCCAAGGAATGTCATGCTCAAGATGAAACATTTGGGACCAAAAAGAAACATAAAAAGACCCAAACATGAGATCTATCATATAAACCATAAAGATATGAACTTTATGCCTTTAGATGGTGGAGAAGAGAGCCAAACTTCTAGATCTAATCTTTGCTTCAAGCTTCCAAGCTTCTTGATGAACTTCTCCTTCCTCTAAAACACCAAGAACACACTTTAGGGCTCTCAATCTCACTCTAGGAGGCTAGGGCTTTGCAAGAACGGCTCTAAGGCTTTGGAGGCTAAAAATAGGGGTGAGCATCGGAACAGGGTACCCGCTTTAGGAACCGAAACTGCTGGTTTTGAAACCGAAACCGCCTTAGGCGGTTCCGATTCCGATTCCCAAAGTTTTGGAACCGCCTTATGCGGTTCCGGTTCTTAGTTTTTTGGAACCGCTAACCGCTAGGTAACCGTCGGCATATATATATATATATATATATATATATATATATAGGGAAGAGTTATATGGAAAATGAATGATTAGGGCAACACATATTTGTACCAATGAAAACATGACAACACATCACTTCCACAATAACTTCCACAATACATTACTTGTGAAGAAAGAAATGGACACGTGTCATTTAATTATTGGTTCCGGTAGATGTTGCCCTAGTTATTTGTTTTCCATAGAACTCATTCCTATATATATATATATTATATATATATATATATATATATATATATATATATATATAATTGATAATGTGATGTAAATTAATTAGTTTCAAATTTAACATCAAATTGATGTCTACACTCAAAAAAATGTTAGTACGTCTGCATAATTAATTTTCTATCTAAATGGGTCACACATGCTTTTTAGAGTTATGCTACAGTTATCATTCAATTTTTACTTCTTGATGCTTAATGAATGACTAGTTTGATTTTATTGATAATTATTTTTTTGTAAGTATGTAAAATATATAGGTTTTTTAAGATATTAAAAGTCTAAAAAACTAACGAACTGGGTACCTGGTTTTGGAACCGCTACCCGCCGATTCCGGTTCAGGTTCCAATATTTTAGGAACCGGTATCACCGGCTCCGGTTCCGGTTCCAACTTTCTAGGAACCGCCGGTTCCGGTTCCAGTTAAATATGGCGGGTACCCGCCTATGCTCACCCTAGCTGAAAATGTGGGGATAAGTGAGCCATAAGGATGCTTAAATATCCCACACAACCTAAAACTTAGGATTTCCTTCAGATATGGGTACGCCCGTCGTACTAGGGTGCGCCCTAGTACGCTCAACATACCCACATGTACGCTTAGCGTACTCATCCTAGCCCTAAATTAGAAATTTGCCACTAGGGCTTCCTATGACAACTTCAGTCCAATACAAGGGCCCAAATATCAAACATTAAAACCAAAGGATGAATTTAGAAATACCTGAATTCTCGGGATGTTACAGAAAACTCAAACATTTAGTTAATCTTTAAGATCAACGTCTACTCTTAATATGTAGTTATAGTCGAATCTGGTAAACTAGTTAAAACTTGAAGATAAACAATCAACAAAGTATTCAAGTAATAAATGAAGTAAACTTAAGTATAATCAATGCAAAGAAAATTTAAGAACAAAAAGAATGTTACGAAAGAACTTTGACTAGAAGGAAAGTTGTAAGTGATGTGATGATAATAATTGCTATTATTGGATTAAAATTCCGATATTAATTCTTGAAACATTCACTCATTAAATAGTGAATGAGGAACATAGTACAAAACCATTAAAACATTCTAAGGACCGGATAATGATCAGTGTTTGGCAAACTGACATCTAAAAGATACACACGTTTTAGTCCTATGAACTGTTACATCAAAGTAAAGACAAAACGCATTAAATGCATGTACAAACTTTTGATTCCGGAACATCTTGATCTCATAAATGATCTGGCTTTGAAACTTCTTGATGTCGAAATTGATTTGGCTTCGAAACTTCACCATATCTCGGACACAAGCTGACTTTGGAACTTGATTGCAATTTGCATGTGATTACTAGAGGTTCAATTTTCATGTATCAACAAGGTTCATCTATTTGGGTGGCTATCTCACCTCTGGTTACTTATTGTTACGTATTCTATAGGGGTTAGCTAGTAGCGAGACTGTATGTTGTATGATTGTCGTTTACTTGTATTATGTGCCTACTTGATCTTGATTGTTTATATGTCGACATGTTGTGTTTGGTTTGGGTTGAGATGATCCTGCTTTGTGTTGTAGGCCAAGATACCACGTACGGGCCAACTGTAAGCCCTAAGCAAGGAGGCTCGGGAAAAACGGTAGGGTTGAGGCGGTAGACCAATAAACCATGGGTATTCCATCCCGATGGCTGATTGAACCCATTGTATATTGGCATTCCGACCCGGGGTATTCCATCCCAAGGATGAATGGACCCGGGGGTTGACTGTGCATGGGGTATTCCAACCCAATTGTTGATTGGACCCGCCATGTTTGACCGTATATGTTATCTGTTTGCGTGGTGGTATTTTGGGGGAAACTCACTAAGCTTTATGCTTATCCAATTGTTTATTGTTTTAGGTATCATTGGTATCTATAGGAAGGCGAAGGAGACACTATATACACGCATCAACAACGTTGATGATTCCACGTTTTCTATAAAACTCTAATTTTAAATAAATGTAATTTGGAATAAACGGTTTTCTTAATAATGAATTTATAAATTGGAAAATTTTACCTTAAAAAAAATTAAAAAAAAAATTGTTGTGAAAATGAGATTTTACATTATGCTGTTAGTATGTTTAAGAAGTTAAAGATAATTTCACTATTGACGTTTTAATCAAAATCAAGTTATATATATATATATATGTATATATATATATATATATATATATATATATATATATATATATATATTGCACATGTAGATGTTTTGGCCATGTGTGTTTCCGCTAAGAAGAAATAGAGATGGGTGAGCCCCTTGACATATAAGTGAAACCGTCCCCACTAGATGATTATCGATTCTACCTTTTTGATTGCTATCATCTAATTGTTGTTTTTTTTCCCTTCAAATTTTGCGAGCAAGTTTGAATATGAGTTAATTTTAGTAAGACTATACCAAGTGTTTCACGTGTCAAAGATGACCATATCATCACTGACACCACCCCATTAACAGTTAGAAATGATGTTCACTAGTGACTTGGAAGAAGACAAAGGAAGAGAGAGAGAGAGAGAGAGAGAGAGAGAGAGAGAGAGAGAGGAAGAGAGAGACCGAGAGATTGGGGGGGGGGGGGGGAGGTGAAAGATAGAAAAAGAAGTCTTTTGTCTCTTTTGTAACCCGACGTAAAGCTACTCTTGCCATATCATCTCACGGATGCATTTAACAGACCATTTCATAAAGCCTAATATGATCTTATTAGACAGATGAGAGTACTGGCACGATACACACATTGGTGGCTTACATGTTACTACGGTGGTGCAGTAAACACAACACCGACTAACTACGATAGGTTGGTTGTGGGGTGGGTTACGTGAAGCTCTACCACACAAGAAAAACACACATACCCCTCAAAGGTAATATTTTGTGCATAAAATTGTAGTGGGATGGGTTGATGGGTATGATAAGGTATGATATGACATTCATCAATTATGTGGGATAAAAGAAAGAATGATGTGAGAGACTGAAAAGGTGTTTGAGAATCATTTTAAAATGACTTTAGGATTTTTAGCTTTTTCAAAAAGCTAAAAGTTAAAAAAGATGTTTGGCATTTTAAAAAGGGCAAGAACAAAAATAAGGTGTTTGAAAAGTTATGAAGTTGTGATTTTTTGTAACTTATGGGTTTTTAGCTTTTGAAAAGTTAAAAGACAAATCAAACACATTTTAAAACTATCTTTTGTAAAAAGCCAAAAAATCAAAAAGAATTTTTGTCAAAAGAACTTTTTAGCCTGAAAAGCAATCCCAAACACCCTCTAAAATTATATTCCCTCCGTCCCATATTAAAAATCCATATTTTTTTTTTGGTTTGTTCTAAAATAATAATCTACTTCTAAAAATAAACATGTTTTTTATCATAATATTCCTTTAAATTACCATACAATTATATACAACTACTATGTAATTAAATGCAACAAAAGGATAAAACTATTATTTCATTTAATAAAATTAGTAATAATTAATGTTTTGTTAATTTGTATTTTTTTATAAGTAGACAATTAATTTCGTACAAAGGGAGCATTAATTATGAAGATGTTATAAAACGCAAAAGATAAAAACGATGTTTGATAATATATGGATGTTGATAACCTTGGAAAAAGTGGAAACAAACGAACTAATTTGATCTAACAAAGACCTCTCTAATTGCATTCAACTTGTTTTGCAGCCTACACGCACATACCTGGCGACTAACAGTCCAAAACTAAAAGCGGACTTCCCAATCTAAAGCATACACCACCATAACAAAACTAACCACCTACTCGAAATCAACCCAACAGATTCATCCACAAGAAGAGTGGGAGATAGATCGGTCCCAAAATGATGTCCGACGGCGTTGAAGACGAAGAGAAATGGCTCACAGCTGGCATCGCCGGCCTTCAACAGAACGCCTTCTACATGCATCGCGCTTTGGTAATCAATTCGATTCAAGTTTGATCTCTTAAACCCTAAATTGCAAATAATTACTTTGTTCATACTCGAAAACCCTAATTCATGAACCGCTTCTGTTGCTTTGCATTATTTGTTCCAGGATTCGAATAATATAAAGGATGCGTTGAAATACTCTGCTCAGATGCTATCGGAGCTTCGTACTTCGAGGCTTTCCCCTCACAAATACTACGAGCTCTGTAATTACACTCATAGAACTCTTTCCTTTAGTGATCTGATATAGTTGTGAATGAAGTGAATAAAATAGATGTGTTTGACTGTGAATGTGTTTTGTTTTTGGTTAGATATGAGGGCATTTGATGAATTGAGGAAGCTGGAGATCTTTTTCAAGGAGGAGAGTAAGCGTAGTTGCTCGATTATTGAGCTGTATGAACTTGTGCAGCATGCAGGCAACATATTGCCGAGACTGTAAGTGGAAAACTAGAAACCCTTACCCATTTACCTCTTCTTAGTACTATGGTCAGGTTCTGCATTAGCTATAGAAGATAAAAACAGTGAGGAAGACATTTCTCCAACTCTCAAAAAGTCAAAATGTTGGGCTGTTTTCAAGTGTCTTTTAAGTTTTAACCAACTTAAACAAAGATCAGCTTAAAATAATGGCGGATGCACTACAATTCCTGCAAACAACAATTTGTGTGACCATATAAATGTTGCATCATCAAAGAATTTTAAAGATCCATCAGTAAATGATATAGGAAACAACCGGGGTAAGGTCTATGGGTTGAGTCTTGATTCCTGTGAACCAGAAAAATGCAGTATGTTATGTAGTTACGTAGGAATATTTCCTAGCAATTCAAAGATAACCTGATGTGTATCACTGTATTGATTATATGTTATAGTTATCAGTTTTTGATACCCCTGCTTTCTTTCATTCATTCAGGTATCTACTTTGTACAGTAGGATCTGTGTACATTAGGTCAAAGGAGGCTCCTGCTAAGGACATTTTAAAAGATCTTGTTGAGATGTGTCGTGGTATCCAACATCCTCTTCGTGGACTCTTTCTAAGAAGTTATCTTTCTCAAGTCAGTAGAGATAAGTTACCTGATATAGGTTCCGAGTATGAGGGGTAAGATTGTCAAACTTGTACATGTTTCAGACTTTCAGTTACCAATTGCAAAGTCATTGAAGTACTAAACATACCCTTTGCTTTTTGTAGGGATGAAAACACTGTTATGGATGCTGTTGAGTTTGTTCTTCAAAACTTCACAGAGATGAACAAATTGTGGGTCCGAATGCAACACCAAGGACCTGCTAGGGAGAAGGAGAAACGTGAAAAGGAGAGGAACGAGCTTCGTGATCTTGTAAATAATTAATACTTTTAACTTTTTGTATATATATCATTTCAAATAAAGAATATAAAAATATCACTTTCCATGTATATTATTATATCTAAGTGTTTTTTTTTGCTATACAGGTTGGAAAGAATCTACATGTTCTCAGTCAAATTGAAGGCATTGACCTAGAGCTCTACAGAGACACTGTTCTTCCTAGAATCTTGGAACAGGTATTATAATTTATAAGTTTGTATCTATATTCTATATATTGGTTGTGTTTTTTTTTCTTTTTTTGAACTCAAGATTCTCATAATAATTGCAGGTTGTGAATTGCAAAGATGATCTTGCTCAATATTACTTAATGGATTGTATAATTCAAGTCTTTCCTGATGAGTATCATTTACAGACTCTTGAAACATTATTGGGTGCTTGTCCTCAGCTTCAGGTGATTTATAAAAATATCTTTTTTTTATTACTTCTGCTCTATTATGTATACTGTTTCAAGATTCTGTTACTAAGTTTCTATATTCATTGTTTTTTTTTTTTCAGCCTTCAGTTGACATTAAAACAGTTCTTTCTGGTTTAATGGAAAGGCTTTCTAACTATGCTGCATCAAGCATTGAGGTGTGTGAACTTATGCTAAATTTTTTAAAAAAAAGTTCACTTTCATAATCCCTGATAACAGTTTTTCTACAGGTTTTACCAGAATTTGTCCAAGTAGAAGCTTTTGCAAAGCTGAACAACGCCATAGGTCAGGTAAATAAGTTCTTCAACACCTCAGAGCATTTCACAAAAGTATAAAAAAAAATAGTTCTTGAATTTATTTTTTTATTTCAGGTGATTGAAGCACAACCAGATATGCCTGTTTTTGGAGCTGTTACTTTATATTCATCTCTTCTTACATTCACACTCCATGTCCACCCTGATCGACTTGACTATGTGGATCAAATATTGGTATTATTTTATTATTACTACTCTTTAAAATGTTTTTTTTTTGTAGTTTCTATATTGAAAGTTTTTATATATATATTTTTTTGTCAGGGTGCATGTGTAAGCAAAATTGCTGGAAAAGGGAAGCTGGAAGGAAAAGCCACAAAGCAGATTGTTGCACTTTTAAGTGCTCCATTGGAGAAATATAATGATATAGACACTGCATTAAAGCTTTCAAATTATCCTCTAGTTATGGAGTATTTAGATGATAGCACTAATAAAGTCATGTCTAATGTTATAATCCAAAGCATCATGAAAAACAAGACTCACATATCAACTGCTGAAAAGGTATTTTAATATATCATATCATTATTCAGTATAAAGATTTGTATTTTATAGTTTTTTAATAAATGTTCCCACTTTTGTAGGTTGGGGCTTTATTTGAACTAATAAAAGGGCTCATTAAAGATTTGGATGGCGATGATAATGACGAGGTTAAATACGTCAATTCGTATTTTCACTTATATCAATATGAGTTTTTATTAAGGTTTGTATTTTTAAATTAATTTTTTATTTTTGGGTTGTGTAGATGGATGAGGAGGACTTTAAGGAAGAGCAGAATTCTGTTGCACGTTTAATTCAAATGTTGTATAACAGTGATCCACAAGAGATGTTGAAGGTATTTGAAGTTTACATTTTCAATTTAACAAAAGGACAAAATAAGGGGTAAAATGGTCCATTTTTATAAGGTTTATTATTTCTTACGGTGCGAGTCAAAGGGACTAAAATTACAGAAAATTTACACCAGAGGTAATGAAATCCGAATCTGGACTGAAGTTGTAATTTTTACTAAACCACAGGAGCCATTTCTGTAAATTTATCTATACATAATGTCGTTTTACAATGGAATTAACTACCAGTTTTTAAGGGACCAAATTCGCAACAACATGAAACCATGGGGACCGTCCATGTAAAGAAATGAAAAGCTGGACTGAATTTGTGATTTCCTTTATACCAGAGGGACCATTTCTGTAATTTTATATTACTATATTTTGCTGAGTTGCAGATTATATGTATGGTGAAGAAGCATATCATGACTGGAGGACCCAAGCGACTTCCTTTCACAATTCCTCCACTTATATACAACGCTCTCAAGGTTCTTTTTTTTCTTTTATTAATCTGTTTGATTTTATTATTTATAATTCGTTTAAAAACTTCATTAATTATTTATTTTTAATGTAAATCTATACAGTTGGTACGGCGAGTACAAAGTCAGGATGAGAATGGTAGTGAAGACGAGACATCATCAGCCACACCAAAAAAAATATTTCAAATGTTGAATCAGGTAACAAATTCTCCTTTATAATTTTATTAAAAATAATAATTTCTTATGAGGGAGAGGGTTTCTTGTGTATCAGACAATTGAGGTTTTATCAATGGTTCCAGCACCTGACCTTGCATTAAGGTTATATTTGGAATGTGCTGAGGTATGTAATTTATGACTTTTATATTATTAATTATTATTTTTATTGACCTCCACTACCCTTGTAGGCTGCAAATGACTGTGATCTAGAACCTGTAGCATATGAATTTTTCACCCAAGCATATATATTATACGAAGAAGAAATTTCGGTAAATTATAATTTTTATCTTCCTCTTAACATTTTTTGTATATGGAACTACTTCCATTTATTATTTGTAATTATTGGTGTTTAACAGGATTCCAAAGCACAGGTAACAGCACTATATCTGATTATAGGGACACTTCAAAGGATGCACACCTTTGGGGTTGAAAACAGGGATACCTTAACCCACAAGGCCACAGGGGTAATAGTTCATATTTCCTTCTTCTGTATTGTTAAAATTACACTTTTATCCCTACTTTACCTTTTCCTCTTTTTATTTTTTGGTATAGTATTCAGCAAAGCTGTTGAAGAAGCCAGATCAGTGTAGGGCTGTTTATGCTTGTTCGCATCTGTTTTGGGTTGATGATCAAGACGGAATCAAGGATGGCGAGAGGTATATATATATATATATATATATATATATATATATATATATATATATATATATATATATATATATATATATATATATATATATATATAGTTAGTTAAATTACAAATTTGGTCCCTGTAGTTTACTGAAAACCACAAGTATGGTCCAGGTATTAGAAAATTGAGTAAAGTTGTTTGTGTTGTGTGTGATGTAGAGTATTGCTTTGCTTAAAGCGTGCGTTAAGGATTGCAAATGCTGCTCAACAAATGGCAAATGTGACGAAAGGTAGCGGTGGATCGGTGATGCTGTTTATTGAGATTCTAAACAAGTGAGTAGTAGCCTTGATAGTTAATAATAATAATATTTTGAATTTTGAATATTGAATAATATGGTGTTAATGATGATTAATTAATTATATTTTCAGGTATTTGTATTTTTTTGAGAAGGGAAACACACAGATCAGTGTTGCATCGATTCAAGGGCTGATTGAATTGGTAACAAGTGAGATGCAAAGTGATAGTAGAAGCACATCGGATCCAGCTGCTGATGCTTTTTTTGCGAGTACAATCCGCTACATTCAGTCACAGAAGGATAAGGGTGGAGCAACAGGGGACAAATTTCAGGCAATTAAGGTCTGACAAACCTATTTGTGATCTATGCATGCTTTGCTTGTCTATATTTTTGACTTACCTCACGTTTTTTTTTAAAAAAAAAAATTCAGGATGTGTAACTTAAGAACAAAGTATCAATTTGATTTTTTTTTTTTAATTATAGGAACGACTTTGATTTTTAAGAAAGAGTGAATATTAAAATTTAAATTGGGATTGAGAAGTAATAATAAACTGATTGTGTAATTAAAAAGTCTACAAGAGATTCTGATTATCATATGAATGGTGAATGAAATCGTTTCCTACTTAAAACAGTTGGGAAAGTTAGCTGGATCTATAAAAGTTATATAAATCATATGCACGAGACAACATTTTCTAATTGGTCTTAAAAGATAAATTTTTTTTGAGAAAGATTCCAGCCTCATTGAAAACTAGGCTATGTAATTTACTGTAACTAGCTTATAATTTAGTTGGTTGCTGTTAAGCTAGCATATGAATTAATATTGTTTGGTAAGAAATAGTAGACAACATAAATAGACATTTAGATATATAACTGAAAAACTAACATTAAATATAGTTAAGACATATTTGGAATATTTTTGAAAAAACTACATAAAAAAGAAAAATAATTTATCAAAATCTAGTTTATAAGCTAATTTGTACACTACAATAAGCTATTTTTTGGGGTTTTACCAGAGATCAAATTACAATAAATTAACAAAGGCATATTTATTAGGTAGTTATTATTTTTAACAAATCAAAAGGTAGATTCTAGGCTAGATTTTTTAAAAAGAAAATCTCCTTGAAAATCTTAATATTTTGGTATAGTTTATAAAAAAGAAATCTTAAATATTATTTTTTCTAACATAAAAGTCCTAATTACCAGATAAAAAAAATTCAAATCAACCGTTTTTTACCGTTTTTTTTTCTGTTAAAATATTTTTTTACCTAATTGTCTCTAGAAAAGTTCGATTATTTGACTCAATTTCACTTCAATTTTTCTCATTAAAAATTCGGAATTTTTTTGTTCAAAGTTCAAACTATGAATAGAAATAAGCCTCACTAAGCTCCATAAAAATAAAAATAAAAGTGTTCTATAACCAATTATCTGCCACAATAATGATGACTGATATTGTTTTGAACTCATCATCATCCATATAATCTGTCTCTTACACAAATTTATGTTACAAGTATTATATGATATTCAAATTATGTATTGAACATTTTATTATAATCTATCTAAAAGTAAGTTAAAAGGAAAACTACCTCTTGTGTTCATATAATAAATTTTTGACCGATGACAAATCAATCGCTACAATAATAGGTTAGATGAGGTTGTACGGATTGTAGAGAAAAACATGAGTTGGTGTACTACTATAAAATTAAATATGGTTGTAAATTAATAATATAGTCTTTAAGGTGATATATATATATATATATATATATATATATATATATATATATATATATATATATATATATATATATATATATATATATACCGTTAAAATTTATAAATATAATTATCAATATATTTTAATAAATAAATTATGTATTTTTTTAGTTATAAAAACTACATCTAATATAGTAACAAGTTGATAAAAATGAATAATTAATACTCAAGTAAGAGATGAAATAAATAATTAATAATTAAAATGTGGGCCTAAAAGCTTATATGAACTTCAAACAAAGATGTCAATATCTTAATCTTATGCATAGGTTACTTGTTTTTAGTTTGTAAGATCAAGACCTTAAGATTGGGATCGGTGTCCTAAGATCCGACAAAATAAAATATAATTAACTTATAATTTTAAAACATGAAAGATATCTCAAATTTTCATTTTTGTCCATTAAAATGCTATAAAAACTTTAAAACATTAGTCATAACTCAACACAAAATGATAAACAGTAAACTAACAAATGATAAAAGACATAAAGTGGTAAATTTATTATTTTTTTTCAAAAAAAAATAAAAAATCAAGGGAAGGTGGGATCGAATTGGATCTCAATTCTACGATCCTACCAGTAGGAATGAACATTTGAACCGACCTGAGAATCAAACTTGGTGGAAAATAGGAATCGAACCGGACAGTCAGTTTCGGTTCTTGCCTTATCTTCATTGTTGGAACCGATACTTGAGAGATAACAACATACGGTTCCGGTTTTTGCCGATTTTACCGGTTCCCGGTTCCAAAAATCCACAAAAATATCATCCCGGTCTAGCCCGATCGGTTCTATCCGGTTCCGGTACTGGTTCCAGCCAATTCATTGATCCAAATGCTCATCCCTACTTACCAGCGACCATACCCTAAATTAGATTTGTATACGATCCATCTCGTTTTTCATACCTAGGATCGTAGGATCATACGCTCCTACGATCAAGATCGCGATTTTAACAACATTGCTTGCAGATGATGAATGAAAATATAAAATTAATTGAGTTCAATGAAAATATTAATTAATTGAAGTCATAGTTAGTTAATTAGTTAGTCGAGTTTCTCTTAATTCGGTTCAATTCTTGATTCCTCCAAATCCATAAATTCGTTTTCGGTTTTTTGTTCTAGTTTTGTTCAGTCCGATTTTGGACCTTAACAATCCCTAATATACCGTTGGGTCACAGACCCTTTAGATCTTTGAGATATCTACCTGAATGGCTCATGCACATTTTCCCATAAGTTTTCCAAATATATGTTCTTTTCCCGCTAATGTCATTTTATATTTTTCATTTAACTTATCAACTAGTTTTTACCAACTATTATCACTTTATAAACTATCATTTGGATTATATAGTAAAAGCTAGTCTTTTAGTTAGTATGTCAAACACAGTCGTACTATGTGAGTTGAAGTGATGATGAATCTTTTGACGTCATTGTCGTTGCATAAAACCTTGGACCTAATAGTCGCTCGTTGCCATTTTGAGAAGTGGATATCGTGTTCTAGGATGATCTTGCAGCTAGCTTCCAATATTCTATTAAGCTTCAAATAAAGCATATTGCTATTATGTAGAAAAATTTACCATGTATTAAAAAACTTGACCTAAAGTAACTCATTGTTTTGTGCATGTAAGTCTATACTTATACACACATACATACATGTATAAATTAATGGGAAATTAAGTTAATTAACTATTATAAATGAGGTTTTTAAAAAAAAATATTTTTTCCTGTTTTGAAAAATGATCACTTTTTCCAAACGATCCCATTCTGGACGGTTCTTCAAATTCAATTTTTTTTCAAAGAATTCTCTCTAATTATATTCAGAATGTCCATCTCGAAGTGTTTAATATCACCTATTTTCAATCAAATGTTTGATTTTAAGCCATATTATCATATATATTTTTTATTTACTGTGTTTGTTTAATTTTTTGTTAAATTTTAATGAAAAACAATATTCTCTTCCAAAATACCGGAACTGTTCATCGAATTTTAGATTTGTTTTTAAAATACCAAAGTTTTCTTTCCCGAAATTTGGAATATTGGTCTTGAAAGAATCCCAAAATGTGAGTCCCAAATTTACATTTTTGTCAGAAAATCTTTTTTTTTTCTCCATCCGGAATCCTCCATTCCACAACTTGGTGGTTATTTTTCGAAAAACCTTTTTTTTTAGGTTATGTTCTTTAAATACACATTACATTATGGTCAGATTACTCAATTTCCCAAAATTAATGCATATTTGTAGTTATTTGAAAAAGGATTAAAAGATGATCAAATATGCATTAGATTCCCCTCCTTTCACAACAATGTGCACCAAAAACGCATAACAAAAATTATACAAAAAAAAAAAAAAAAAAACCTAAAGAACACCAAAGAAGCCTAACATCAAAGTTGCCAAATGACATTATGAACAACAAAAGTATTCTCAAAAAAACTCAAACCAAAAGTTTAGCCGACTACAGAACTTAATGCGGAGTAACACAGTCTTCAACAAATACAAACGAACAAAATGAATATATAAAAGAAAAAAAAAAGAATCCAACTCGAGTTTTATTTTTTCTTTTATCATTTTTTTCCTTTTCAAATCTAAGTTGATCTCCAGCAAAACTATCTCAATTAAAGATCAAATCAGCCTAACAAAGGTGGAGGAGACACATGAGTAAAATCATGCTTTCATGGTTAGATTTAGATTTGATGAGAGAAAGGGTAGAAAGGTAAATGAACACGAGGCTTCTCTCTCCATTGACTCCATTGTTAAATCACAATATAGAGCAGCCCTTTTGAGCCTTTCCCTTCTTTTTCTTTGAGCTTGGAGGTGCCAGAACAACTTTAATGGCAGAATCAAAAACTGCTTTCACATTCTGACAATATAATAATAATTAAATTTCTCTATATTTTAAACATGATTTAAAAATATTAAGAAAATACCTCTTGTGTTTTTGCACTGCATTCAATGTATGCAGGAGCTCCAATCGTCTTCTTTAGTTCTTCTCCCTATAATAAGCCCACAAAAACTCATGTTTCTTTACTGATAATAACTGATTTACCATATGTAAGGGTATTTTGGTCATTTACTAATAGCTGAGTAGAACATGGTAATAATAGTCATTACCTGAGCAGTTGTAATGGGAACTGCATTAGGATGGTCAGCAAAGAACTGTTTATCATCCCGAAGATCTAAAATCCAACAACATGTAAGGGCATTTTGGTCATTTATAACTAATCAATTTATAACAAATTATCAAATTCTGAATCATCATGAAACAACTAACCAATTTTGGTCCCAACAAGGACAATTGGGACTCCAGGGGCATAATGTTTCAATTCTGGAATCCACTGAGAAAAGAATAAAAAAAAAAGATATATTCAGTTACTAGATCATATTTGAAGGGTGAAATGGTAAAAAGACCATGAGAGGCTCACCTTCTTGGAGATGTTTTCATAGCTAGCTTTGCTAATGAGAGAAAATGCAAGAATGAAGACATCAGCACCACGATAACTCAATGGTCTTAATCTGTTATAATCCTCCTGTCCTGTTCAGTGAAATGTCTATATTACCCTTAAAGTTCAAGAACACAGAAATGATTGATGATGTTTCAGAAGGTTGGTTACCAGCAGTGTCCCACAAGCCTAGGTTGACAGTGCTGCCATTGACAACGACATTGGCACTGAAATTATCAAATACAGTT